GTCGCGTGATCTCGATGACGCAACAGTTACAAGGGAAATTGAAAAATGCTGATGATATTTTCACTGTCAGTGTTGCGTAAAAAAATATTCTGAAACAAATATTTGATTTTAAATGTCAATAAAATTGTTGTTAGTTAATTTATAGCAATCTTTACGGAGTTTTCTTAACACCCGTTATATTTGACGGGCTATACACTAATATATTTATCTTATAAGTTATATAACTTATAAGGCTGTCATTCCATATTTTTATACCCTCTCACATCGCTATGTCATTATAAAATTTTCACGGAAAAAATGAATGATTTGTTTCCTACATATTTTTATTTATAATGAAAAAAAGAAGTGTAATATTGCATTATGTTATTAAAACTACGTATTGATACACTGGCCAAAGATTAATTTTGTTTAACTATTTAGTATTAGTATTACAACGTGAGAGAGCGTGTGTAATGTGAACGGACTTTTCCTGTAATTTGTAAAGCTTCACAGTTTTTTACAGTCTTTTTTATAGGCAAACGTTTTCACTTAGAAAAGCCATTTTTATAAAAGTTTTGTAAACTAAAGAAAAGGAATGATAGCACATTATTACTACTATACTTTAATAAACATACTTGTCCAAAAGGGGGCTCTGCAGTATAACTTTTAGTAATCAGCTGGCTTTAAATTACTATACGTGCGTATTGGTTTGTTGGGTATAATTGCCAGGATAAGCACAAAAAGTAAATAGGTATGTAAGAAAAAATATATTGGTATGTAACTCTTAAGGGTGTATCTTCTTACATTGCCAACAAAAAGGTTATGTAAATTTTAATTTGTACAAATTCTAAATATTTCTTAAGTTTTTTCATACTAAATTTGTTGGCAGTGGTACTGTATTGACAATATTGTAATTTATAACTGTAGTTTGTACTACTAGTATGTGTTGTGATATTACCATATTTATTTCCATGCAATAGTTACAGTTTAACTGTGTTACTTAAATCAGTATTATTAGTGTTACTTATTACTGTTACTACTAGTACTAACCATTACTATTAGAGTACATAGCAATTATTATAATAGAATGGAAATAAATCAGTTTTATTAATCATTATAATACTTAATTGAAAAAGGTCACAAGGCTTAATAATAATGAATTTGTGCTGTTTAATATAACTTATCCTAAGCCTATAATATGATTATTAGTATTATTGTTAAGAATATTACACTAGCTGTGTCAGGTTTAAGAATAGACAGCTAAAAACATAGAATATTAAAATCTAACAATTTGACTATGAGATGTTACCTTCAAAATTCAAATATCTACAAATAATATATACCTTGTGATTAAACAAATGACTTAAAATTCAATTTTAGTCTTCTACTGGCTCTGAGCAAGACTATCATTCACTCTTCACAGTGTTGACAAATGAAGTGTGTAATAAATAATACAGATATTAAATTTACTACACTTAAGCCATTTGAATCAGATATAGTGGGAATATATAACTGTTGTAGCAATGGAAATACAGAAGTTAGAGCTTAGTGTAATATCTCAGTATAGTAAAATTTTATGAAATAAACATTCCATAATTATTTTAAAAATAAATATTAATATTCAATATATTTATTAGTATATGCATAAATTGTCAACACTATGAGAGGATTTTACTTGCATTCTCACACAATATCAGTGAAATTGTTCAAATAATAAAGTGACTTGTTAGATCACAACATATACATATCCTAACATGTTTTGTTTTTTGGATAGCAAGGGACCATTTCATCTTTCAAGGCTGTCCTTACACATACATCTTTGAGAAAGAAAAAAACCTTCACTTTTTAGGAAATTATTGATTCTTTTGTTAAGCCTATCCTTGTCCTGTACATCACACGTGATTCACAGAACATAATGCTAAAGCACCAGAGTATCATATGTGATACACAACTACATTTACCTGATATGCAGATGATGCTCATGAATGTGACAGTAAGAACTGGTTGTTTTAGTTCAACTTGTGAGATTAGAAGAGAGTTTCATATGAGCATCACATGATTTTGTGCAAAGCACATGAATGATGATTGATTAAGTTATTTTTACTGAAGAGAAAATGTAAACCTAGGATAAATACAACAATTGTTTTCTTTAATTCTTTATATTTTCATTACCCATTACACTAATTTTCCAATATGTAAATAATGGGTAAGTAGTCAAATAAGCATGTCCATAACAACTATTAAATGACCTAAAACAGGGAAAGGTTAAATATTTGCAAAGTGTCAGCCTACAATAATGCCAACAGCAACTCATTCCACAAGTTAATCACCATGTAAAAAAAATAAAACTGTCTTAGCTAGAGCCTAGCCTGTCTATTCCAAATCTTAAACTTGTGTTCTTTCATTCTTTTATCTTCAGAATACAGCATAAAGAAATTTGAGGCCTTTATCCTATCGATCTCCTGGAAAATCATGTAAACTCTAATAAGGTCTTGACCTATTTTTTTAAGATAACACTTCCACTTCCATCATTGGAATCAACCTAGTATCCCTCCTCTGAACCATCAGTAATAGGATAAGGTCTTTAATTTTCTCTTGAAAAAAAAATGATCTTATTGAATTTTTCAAGATCATCCATTGAATCAACAGGATAAAAGCTTTGATTTCTTTGTGCTTTACTCTAAAAATAATAACATTAGAGGACACAAGTTTAAGATTTGCAAAAGACAGGTTTAGCTTCAGTAAGACATTTCTATTTTTCTAAAAGAGTGATTAGCGTATGGAGTTATATGTTAGATGATAAATATTAAGAATGCATTGTTAGTTAAGACTTTGTTTAGTTCTAGAACTGTTGTTTGTGTAATATGTGTAATAGTGTTTGCCTTTGTTCATCCTTAGTTCTAGAACTGAAGATTTGCCTTGTGTGTACTGTTGTTTACCTTTATTCATCCTTAGTTCTAGAACTGAAGGTTTCCCTCATGTGTATTGTTGTCCACCTTTGTTCATCTTAGTTCTAGAACTGAAGATTTTCCTCATGTGTGTACTGTTGTTTACCTTTGTTCTTCCTTTGTTGTAGAACTGAAGGTTTGCCTCGTGTATACTGTTCTCCACCTTTGTTCATCTTAGTTCTAGAACTGAAAATTTTCCTCGTGTGTACTGTTGTTTACCATAGTTCATCCTTAGTTCTACATGGCTAAACTAAAGGAAATTACAATACTGTTAACATAGTAAATAAACCTGTATTAGAGAAATGGAGGAAATGGCATCTTTAGAAAAAATTTCAAATATATTTAAAATGTTAAATCAAAGGAGAAAATAATGTAAAGGAAATATTTCTTATCATTAGTATCACCGTTATTATTTAATGTTTGGAAAAAACTACAGCTTACAGAAGATTTGTTGGTATTGTCAAGAATATTAAGCAACAAGAAATTTGTTGAAATTGAACTATATATACATAATGTACATTTTCTGTATAATTAGCAAAAAGTAAGACTGTAAAGTTTATTAACTATGATTTATTTACTAATACACTAGTATTGATATGTACACAAAAATTAAATCACTATCTATAAATTCTATAAGAATAGGCAGTAGATGTAACTTTGTGGTATAAGAACAAAAAATATAAATGTTTATGAATTATTAGAGAAATAGCAAAAACTATTAACTTTGAATGTAAGTCCTTTGTGATTATTAATGTAGTTTGATGTGAATATTTTTAATCTAGTAATCATTTTACTGGTATAATTTTTATAAGTTTTAGATATAAACAAGTATAATTTGCATAAATATTCAAACTTAATATATATGGAAATCAGTTTGGTTTTAAGATTTTTAAATAAAACAAAAGTAGCAGTACATAAGTAGTTGTTGGTTTTACCTGGTACTCAATAAGAAAAAAAAAAGATTTATTAGGTTAATTGTACAGTTATCTGTGTAAGAAGCTTTATTTTGTAGAAGCTGAAGTACTCGTCCTTTGTTTGGGTTATGAACTTAAAAACGAAATGTGGGGGGTGGATGCTATGATAAATAACACATAAATCCTAACTTTCATACAATTTATTTATAGCATAACATATTACCTCACCCAAACTTTATATAAGTTTTAAGAACTCACTATGTATACATTTAAACATGGTATACATTTGCAATGGTCAGGGTGACTTTGTAGGAAGAGGTGGTGACCAAATTAGTTGTGGTATTTGTGCTTTCTCCTACCCACTTTCAACACCCAGCTTTTAATGCTGGTTGTTGGATTATAAACTTCAGCTGAGTTTATGTATTACTGCAATAGCGGTGGCTATTTTTTTAATTGCATGCCTTCATAGAGAGGGCTAGCACACACACTGAGATATAAAAAACGTTTGTGTGCCCCCCCCCCTAAAACTGTACACAGTACTCTAAATGAGGCCTTACAAGTGATCTATACAGTGAAACAGTAATATCCCCTGTCTTGTATTCAATATTTTTATAGATGCTACCCAAAATCCTATTAGCCCTATTGCTAGATACAGTATGCTGTTTAGATGACTTAAATGATTTTTCGATCACAACACCAAGTATTTTTTTTTTCTACAATCACAGTATTTAATGTATTCCTATTTAAATTGTAACAATAATTTGAATTGTGAAAACCTACATGCATCATCTTACATTGTGGATAGTTAAGCATCACTTGCCACATATTAGCCCAATGCATCAAATGATATAAATCTCCCTGTAAGTCTGTAGCATCTTTGATACAGTTAGCCACCCTAAAATTCTTAATGTCATTTGCAAACTTCAAAATTTTATAAAGTCATTCCAGAGTTAACATCATTAACATAAATCACAAACAGCAGAAGACCCAGCCCAGAGCCCTGAGGCACACTGCTTGTAACTGTGACCCAATCAGATCTAACTCTATTTATTACTATTCTCTGCTTTCTATTCAGACAATTTTCTATCTAATTTAATAACATTTCCCCCACATCCACAGATTTATTTTTCATAACAAGTCTTTTGTGAGACACCTTATCAAACGCTTTCTGAAAATCAAGGTAAACCAAATCCACAGTATTTCCTTCATAAACTATATGTGAATTTCAAATCATTCAAAAAATAATGTTAATACAATCTTTAGTATATCTTTTCGTAAAATCATAATTCATTGTGAGATTGTTATAGAACTTTGTAGGATAAGGAATATTATGGTTTATGTCCTAAAGCCTTTGCAGGCAGTTATGACTTTATAATCATTGAATCTTTGTGAAAAATTGTGTTATTTAAAACCAGTTCCCTGTTATTTTTTGTTGTGTTTGGTGTTATATTTTTAATAAATTAGATTTTTTGAACTCACTTGTTATTTTCCTTTTTTAGATAGTGCTGGAATACAGTCAACAAAAATGGGTATTAAAAATACAGGTGTCACTTTAAGGAAATTGCGAACTCTGATGAAAAACCGAAATTATGTTAGTGAAGCAGTACAGGCCTACATAATTCCTTCTGGTGATGCTCATCAGGTAGGTTAAAGGTTTATTTCTTTTGTAGTGGTGTAACTGTTTAAATCTATTCTATAGTTTTATTCACATGAGATGTTTTTTGTTGTTGTTATGTCATAATTTAAAATATTTGTATTGATTGCACCACAAATTTTGAAAATATATGAATTAAGAAGTTGCCCTGTTTTCATTAATGTTGGTAAGATATGTTTTATTATTCTGTGTATAGTAATCCCCACCCCAATGAAAGAAATGCTTTTTTTGTTTT